ACGTTGGCCAGTTATTGGAAATATCCAGATCTTCCGCTCCTTTACTGTCTTTCTGTGCCAAGCGTTCTCCCTAGGCGTGAAGCGTGTGCATCAACAAAAGTACCGTGGGCCATCTGCTTGGGTGAAAGCTAGTATGCTGGCGAGTACGGTTCGCTAAACATCAAAGCCTTTTTCCGGAACAAGCAAAAGTTCAGTGGATCGAAAAACGAGTCTGCTAACATGTGTTTAATGTGTACATTAACAGGAGCACAGTAATGACCTTCTTCATCTGATACAGAGATTTGAGGGAGCAGGGAGGTAGGGGTTGCATGGGGACTCGTTATTCTGGTTGTAGCTGCAAATCACTTTCCGATTACCCATCATCAGTGGAGGAGAGCAGGTGCGATGCGGTAATGTAAGCTCAGAAGTAGCCCCAGTCTTCTCCCGATGTTTATATTTGCCGAATAACAATATAATTCTCTTTTTACTCTCCGAAGTATTGGGTTACTCGGACTCTTCTCTTTAAAATCGGACCGTACATGATAGCTCTGAAGTGGACTCTCCTCCCTTACCCTTACTGACTCCTCCCGCTTTTCCTCGTCCCCTCACTTTTTCATAATTCTCTCATTCAAATGTAGCGAATGCACACAATTCAGATCTCTTTAACGTTTTTTTTTTGAAATGAATGCACGAATACAAAGTGGCCTCCATGCACTGCAGCGGTCTCATAGAAATATAAAGTGAAATGCAATAAGTGAGCCTATGTTGAGGATTCCAGAAGAGCTGTCGTGTGACTGCAGCGGAGAGACTGCCGACGATTCTGCACCCTCAAGTTTGCAATGAATGCACATGAGACGTAAGCGTTTGTGAATGATGATATTACAGTCTTATATCAGTATACACGGTATAACAATATTTACAGTATATCAGTATACACATTGTTCTCCAAGCTAAGCATTTTCGCATTTCTGATCTGTTTTCTGTTGTTTTTTTAGTTTTGTGATAAAGCAAAGAAACACAGACACAAAACATGACAGTGCATTATTAATGGATTATCCATTTATGAAAAAGGGCGGTAAATCATTCAGTGCATCTAGTGGGGCCAACAAAGCAGGAACAAAAATCTTGATTTGCACGAAAGAAGAATCATGTCCAGGACATGAGTGCTAGATCCACATATGGAGGTGCGCCTGTAGTTGTTAACACCCGGTAAATCCCCAATACGAGCGATGAAAATTTCGAACAAAGCAAATTCAAAGCCAATAATCGAGGAACAAGATAGCAGACAACAAATAGGGGCCGGAAACGTGCGCAGATGCTGCTGATAGGACGCCTCACTTGCATATACAAGCACTGACCATATGGAGTGAACATCTTTCAACATCTTGCTTACATGACACGAGCACTTGCCGCCGCTTTGTCCTCATCGACATTCCTGCAAATTCGAATCTTTAAAAATTATGATTTATTATTATGAGCTCTATTCCCAATCAAGATTTCTCAACAGCTGTTCCGGGATGCCACCGAATTTCAATAAATTTAACGCCGACGCCTTATCCCCCTTCCCCCGTCAAAAAGTCTACTTACGTAAGTACCCATAAGCAAAATCGCCAGAATGAGGCAAGGCGTTCTGTACCTGTTGAATAACAGCACCTAAAAGAAAGCCAGTTAGTCACGACGAGCAGTGCTCAAAACTAAATCTGAAAAAAACCATAGTTAACTAAATTCTGACAAATTGCTCTAGAAGCCTTGGATGAGGGAAGAGGCAAGCGGAGGGAAGTGAGGAATAAAAACTAGGAGGGGTAAAGCTGAATTGACGAATGTTGGGCGGCAAGGAAGCTAAATTTCTTAAAAATAGTTGGTTTAACATATTCACTCTGCAAGCTGAAAGGTGGCAAATGTTATTGGGATGAAGGTGTCGTCTGAGGTTCCTTTTTTTTGCTTTAGCATAGGCGTACTGAATAGGATAATAAAGCTGTTTCTAGGAATACAGAATGATGGGAAAAATCGGAAAATATGAAGCAGTGTGGTGAGTTCGATCGTAACTAACGTGAATCCAAACACTGATTCTTTTTTTGCCGAATCCGGAATCCATGATTTGTTGTTGGTGGTAATGCGTTGTTTGTCAAAAATTTACAGGAAAGACTGTGGGATGTCAAGGCAGTGCAGCTAAGATTCATGATTTGCAGAATCCCAATGAACATCAACTCATCGGCCCAGAAATGAGCTAACCCAAATTTTGCTGTTCTTTAAATTTTCAATTCCCAGATATCTACGTGTTTGTGACTCTTAAAATACTGTGAAACTACTCCAGTAAGACATGCTTATAGTACGACGCCGTCATTTAAATTATTACCACTACTATTATTATCACTACCACTTGCGTCATTATCATTCGCTGCTGCTATTTGTCATTGTCATCGTCTTCGTTCTCACTGGCATCAGTAAAATGTCTTTTACATCATCACTGTTATTATCGTCCTCATCATCTCAAATTTCTTAATAGATGTTGAAGAGGGAAATAAATCTCACTCCTACTTTCTTTCCCATTCCTTTTGCCAGCGGTAAATCTAATCGTCTAATTCGCAGCAAAAGAAGCAGCGAATGTACGCATGTTTTTTCTCATTGCTTATTTCACATTCAATGCTTTCAACACACTGCACTTGATCGTCCTCAGCGCCACAGTCCTGCTCGCGCACGGATTCCTCTCCCACCAAACCCGCCCGGGCATCGAAGGTACAAAGCAAAATTTCCTCATCGGCACTAGTGACTTGGCGCCACAGCGCCATTCCGGAATGTTGCGCGATGGTTACGTTTCTGGTTTCTGGATGGCGATGTATTCGCTGTCCGTGAAAAATGGAGAAGAGGATACTTCCCTGTGACGATCTTGGTATTCTTCGCATATGGTTAGATCAAGATCCATGATTTGGTCCCAAATCTATCGATTACTGGTCGAAATACTGATGATGTTTTTATAAAAACAACGATTTTTTTATTGAATTTTAACTGAAA